GGCCAGCCCCACTGCCCCAACCCTGCTTCCCTGCAGCCCATATCCACCCCGCGGCCAGCAATAAGAACTCATCTGGTAACCCTCACTACGCCTCTGCTGGGAGCCTGAAACATCCAGCTGCATCTGCCCAGCCTAGCCGAGGGCTTGAGGGACCCGGCGCTGCACGGGCAGTCCAGGAGCCCAGAATGCCCTTGCAGCCACGCTGAGACCGGCCCATAGTTTGGGAAACACTGCATTACTGGATGATAAAGAAAAATGGCCCTCTGGATTAGTAGGCTGCAAGACAAAAGTTCAGTTTAATCCCAGGTCTAAACTACTCCCCACAGATACCTAACCTTTGTGCATTTTTATCAGGAGGTGTTTTTCTTTTTTTTTAATATGTAATTAGGTACTTATTCATCAGTTACTAGTGTAGTAAAATATAGTGCAGTGTGATGAACTGTAAATTTGTAAATGAACATCCCTTATCAGTTCCTTCTTCTGTTGAGTAACAGGGAACCAGAATTGTGTTCTGTTCCTGGCACCTTGCTTGAAGTTTTGATTTTGAGTAAGACACCTGTTTTGTGACTCCATTTAATCATCAGAAAAATGAGACAGTAATATTTTTTTAATTAAAGGCACTGTAAGTTCAAAATAGCTATTATGAGAAGGGTTATTTTTAACCCTTTAAATGTGGATCTATTCTGTAAAATATGTAAGTAAAAATGGTGTTAAAGAAAACTAACGTTTCCAGCCAAGATGACACTTAACGAAATTTGCAGATGATGATGGGAGGGAAAGGGTTGCAAGCATTTTAAAGGACAGGATTAGAATTAAAAATGATCTTGATATACTTGGAGAACTGGTCTGAAATCAACAAGATGAGTCAACTTGGAAGAGACAAGTGCAAAGTAGTATGTTTAGGAAGGAAAAACTATATGTACACATTCAAAATAGAATAACTGGCTAAGCAGTGTTTTGAATCTCAGACTGAATATAATCAACAATGTGATGCTGTTGGGACAATGGGATACAGTCGCGGGGAGTGTTTTATTCAAGACGTGGCGGTTAATTGTTTTTGTATACTCTTGCAAGGCCTCAGCTGGAGTACAGTGTCCCACTTTAATCAACACATCTTAAGAAAGATGTGTACCAATTGGAGAGAGTCCAGAGAAGAGCAGTAAAAATGCCAAGAGGCATAGAAAACATGAGGAAAGGTTGAAAGAATTGGGTCTGGTTAGCTTAGAAAAGAGAAGGCTGAGTCAACAGTCTTGGGACATGTAAAAGATTGTTATAAAGAGAGTGGTGATAAAATATTCTCCAAGTCCACCAGGAAATAATTGGCTTAATTTACACCATTTGAGAGCTTTGATGTTCAGAAAATCTTTCTAAGGATTGCTAAGTGCCAGAGCAGGTAATTGCCTAGAGTAGTGTTTCTCAACCTTCTTTTATAAAGTACCCCTTTAAAAATATATATATATGTATATAAGTACCCCCCAGCCCTCCCCAACCCAATGCACTCACCCAGAGCCAAGCACCTGCAGCCCCCACCACTCTAACCCAATACCCTCCTCCTCCTGCAGAGCCTGACACCCCCAACCTCCCTGCTATAACCCAGTGCCGCTCCCCTCTCCCAGAGCCAGGCACTGGATGTATGGTAATCCTACCTTTGAAGTGCCTGTTCCCACCGCCTGGCCCTGCCTCAGCGGCTTGTCTGCAGGGAGAAAGTGGCCAGCCAGCGCTGGGCTCGCTGCTTGGGGCTGTGTGCTCCCACCTCAGCCCGGCGGCGGCCCCCCAGCCACGCCTGGGGGAAACTGCCTTCCCCCTCGCTATAAAACTGACACGGGGCAGTGTCCTTTGGAGCAAAGCTTATTGTGCCGCCTCACCGCCTTTTAGCTTTTTTCCGCAGTGCCATGGGGAAGAGGCAATGGGAATGTGTTGTACTGATCTGCTGGTGGGGATGTGGGGGTTCAGCCGCCCTCCCCGCTGGCGAACTCCAAGTAGGCTGCTGGAGAGGAAACGAACTAGAAGAGGCAGCTGTGGAAGTGATTTTTTTTTTCTCTCCCCCTCCCCCCAAACCTACCCCCCCACTTGGAACTGTCACCGGAGCTGCAGCCACATGCTTTTTCACACCAGTGTTGGGGCGCGTGCACAGAGCGGCTGTTAACATCCGGGCGTAGCACTGAACATTCACTTTGACAGGCACGTGCCGCCTCCCCCTCCCCGATCTCCTTTGCTAGGCAAAATCCCGGACGTTTTGTGCCAAATTTCACTTTTCTTGATGTACCCCAGACTTCTCTCGCGTACCCCTAAGGGTACGTGTACCACTGGTTGAGAAACACTGGCCTAGAGAATCCGCATCATTGGAGGAGTTTTAAGAGCAGGTTAGACCAATATCAGCAATGGTCTAGGAATCCTTAATACTATGGCAGATAAGAGGAATGGACTAGATCAGGCCTAGACAAAATACGGCCCACAGGCCGGATCTGGCCCACCAAGCCACCAGATCTGGCCCGCAGAGGCAGTGGGGAGCCCCAGGCAGGCTCCACAGCTTTCCCTGCAGCCCAGGGCTGCAGCGCTCTGTTTCTGTTTTAAAACTGGAGAGGTGGCCGGGGAGGGGGGGGGGGGAGTTTTAGGAGCTGCTCCACCCCTAGCACATTCCCATTGACCGGTTTCTGGCAGAAACCACCCAATGGGAGCTGCTTGTTAGAATAATGCGCAGCTACGAAGAATCATGCCCCCTCTCCTGGGCTCAGTTATTCATGAAGCACATGGCCAGGCAGGCAGGGTGGCTGGCTGGAACATTTTAAGTCGGCAGGCAGGCAGGCTCGTTTAGCAGCTGGCAAGTAAATCTCTTGGCCACAGCCTGCTTCTGTCAGCCCAGCCCTTTCCTGCCCCAACTCTCTGCCCCCTCACTCAACACACCTAAACCCTCTGTCCCCCTCGTACACCTATACCCCCTTCCCGATCTGGCACCCAGTCTTCTGCCCTAGGTCACAACTGCCTGCTTCATCCCAGCTTCCTCCCAGACTCCAGTTTCCCTCCTGCATCCCAATCTCTTACCTCAAGCTCCCTTCTGTCCCAACCTCCATTCCAGACCCTGCATCTCCTCCATTAAAATCTTGGAGTGGCCCCCCATCAATTATTGCCCAGCTCTGGACTAGATCATGTCTAGAGGCCATTTGCAGCCCTATATCTGATTTCTAGGAGTAGGGCCCCATTGCATTAGGTGCTGTGTAAGAACATACAAAAAGTTCTTGCCCCAAAGGATTTAAGGGCTTGTATAAACTACAAAGGTCAACCCTCCAGAGGTATGTCTTCTTGCATTTGATTTAACGGTTCCAGTATAGACCCCCAAATCAAATACTGAGAGCAGCCCCTGCCAGTATCCTGTACTCCTCATTCTGTGAGGAGTACGGGATGCAAAGGGGAGTTTGTGCTCCCTTCAGCATCCTGCAATATAGATGCTATGGCAGCTCATTTTAAGGTAGGCTGAATCCAGCTATACATTTTGCATAGGTGGATGGCATATTTTAAGACCAGGCTAACAGTCTAAATGGTTTTGATTTTGGGTAACCAGAGGAAGATTCCCTTTCGATTGTCAGAAGCACAGAAAAAAATAGATGATCTATTTACCAGCTTTGTTCAGTTAACAGTAACTGATAAGCAAGTGTGACGTGTGTAAATTCTAACTTTCCTTTCAGATTTCCAAATGCAGGAAAATCCTCATTGCTAAGCAAGATTTCTCATGCCAAACCTCAGATTGCAGATTACCCTTGTAAGTACAAACTGCGTTATTTTTTCACTGCTATAACATTACTTGAACATAAAGCCTCTCCTGTGGCTTGACTGAAAAACTTTTCTAAAAGAACTGAAGAATAGGAGCTGTCTACTGTTGCTGGGCTACAGATGTTATTACCTACAAAATGTCAGTCTCTTTGCCTTTATCTCAGTTCTTTCCCAACTCATAGAGATAGCAGTAAAGACATTGAGTTCCATTACTGTGGCTGTCTGTTCCTGTCACTTCTGTTTTCACATGAATATTCTGTGTTTTCACATGAAGTTCCGTGACCCTGTCATGCTTTAGACTTAGAAAGAGACCAGAACTACAGAGATTTGTTCTTGGTTGTTAGTTTTGAGAGCTCAGTATCCTAAGGGAAACGGTGGGGATGAAAAGCAAAAATGGAAGCAGTGACTGATGTATGCTCAACATGGTTGGGGGGGGGGGAAAAAGCAATGAGGGAAAAATTGCTAGTATTGGCCTTATTTTCAACAGTAATCTTATTTTTCAAAAAAGGGATTGGTTGGTATTTATTAAGGTTCATATGTGTTACTGAGGATCAGAAAGAACTATAGTATAACTTCATGTCCTTATATAAACATAAAGGAAATGTTCTAAAGGAAGGCATGAGAGGAATTAGGTCCAATAGATAAGGAAATGCATGAAGATTTTAAAATTTTAAGCACTGTGTGTTGAAAGTGACTCTATTTTCTTCTGGTGTCTGTCCAGTCACAACAGTAAAACCTGAACTGGGAAAGATCATGTATCCAGATTACAAGCAGGTTGGTACTGAAAAGTAATTTAATTTGTTTGGATATTATGGCTAGTTACATTCATGTCACTACGGTCTTTCATCTTCTACATCTTAATCCTGAGTCATACTTTCAAACGTCTATTTTCTTAGCTTAAGGATATTACTGCAGTATTTTCTATGCCAATAATTATGGCATAAAAATGGTTCCTACTTCTGTTTTCCTTAACAGAAGGAACCAGGTTTCTGTGGTAGTAGATTAATTAATCACCTAAACGTTGTTTGCTTTCTTCTGTATCTTGTTTCACATTTAGCAAATGAGTTTCTCTAAATTATTTAATATAGTATTTAAAAAAAAAACGGAATTTGGCATGAAACAACACTGCAACTTTTTTTGTCATCAAAGCTAATTCAAAATGGTCATAGATTTCTAGAACTAAGAAAACTCTGGCTTGAGAATTGCTCTATTTTATCTCCAAAACTTGAGTTAGCTGTGCAGTAACTTGGCATATGATTTCTGTTTCGTGATTAGGGGAAGCAGAAAAGTGGGCACATGATTTGAATGAAAATCATTCTGAGAATAAACTGAATTCCTTAAACAGTAGAAGCATGTGAGTTTCATTTGTTTTTAATGCTGAAGTAATCATTTCACATGTTTCCAGCATTCATTCCCAGACAAAAACATTACTGATGTGACACAGATTTTGCACAGAGTTCACCTACAGTTAAAAAAAAACACCTTTGAATTACATAAAATAATTCAACCTTTGAATAATTGTCCTGGAAATATGAAGACCCACAGTTCTAAAATACAAGGGAGAATTTTTGTAATGTGTAGATTTTTGTAACAATTTAATAGGCAACTTAGGAAAAATACCCTTTATAAACCAGTGAACTAAGAGTTTCAGAGCAAGGTCATCATCTGAGTAACGAAACACCTTTGTGTGTTTAGTTTTTTGTATGTTACAGAAAACTATTACATTACATTGATTTCATGTCATTATCCTGTCAGTGCAGGAGGAAAAAATTACTGTGTGCACCTACTTCATATTTCCATCTCTCCAGTCTCTTTTCCTGGTCTTTAATTCTGTATTCTGATCTCAAATGTGTTAACTTCGGTTTGATGTGAAGGTCCCATTGTGCAATCCCAATTACTTCAGGGTTCTGTGCCTCTGGATTCTAATGCAGGATCAGGCCCCATGTTCATGTAGAACATTGACAGATTTTGCTTTTGCAAGTGTGAATCTTTGGTGTAAAAATTATGGAGACAGTATTTATGCTTGTCCTTCCATTATTAAAGATGTTCATCAAAGATTTCTGATGACTTAACCACAACAGCAAATTTCTCAGGTGTGAAAAGAAAGAGCTTTTTTTTTCCCCTTTCAAAAACAGAAAAAACCAAGACTCAGCAGTAGCACTTTATTCTTTGTTTAAATTGAATGTTACTACCATGAATTGAATGAGAACTTAAATATGGTACTTCTGTATCAGCTGTTTCTCTCTGGCAGCTGACATCAACACGTCACTGTTAAAGGGTTGGAAAAATTAAAATACATATTTTTAGTAATTAATCACTTCATGCCTCTTCAAAAATGATCTTTGTTAATATGAGCAAATATATAGCATGTCTATTTTGTTTCCTACTTTCAAAGTAGTTGATACAAATAGAATTAACTGATAAATTGCCCTTGACATTTCAACATATGAGTTTTTGGTATATTATTTTAGTGTCTAAGGTTCACAAGTAATGTGTCCTGTGAGGAGCAGAGAATTCCTGTGCACCCACCAACGCCTACTGACTTCATGAGGGTGAGGCGCACTATGCCAGGATCAAGAATTAAATGTCACCCCAGTGCCATGTGTAATTTCTTGGGTTTTTATTAAATAGTAGAATACTAAAGATTTATCTACAGTTTATTGTTTTTGTTTGTTTTGTTTGTTTGTTTGAGGAAATACAGGAAAAGCAAAGAATTTTGATTTTTCAGGTCAAACTGTTGCATTACATGAAAAATAAATTAAGGTTTTTGCTCCATGGTTGCTTCAGTTTTAAACGAAATTTGTTTTAGGGATGTGTCCCAGTCCCTGGAAGCAGCTCCTCACCTGTAGCCTACCGGGTACCCGCTCTGCAGTTTTTAAGCCAGCGCCCCTCGTGGACCAGTTCCCACCCACCACCCCACACTGTTGCCTCTGATGTAGAAGCAGCAGCGCAGGATGACAGGGGGCTCATTGGGGCTGGGAGCTCATTGTCTGACCACCCACCCTTTGGGGGGGGAGGGAGACGGGCACTGAATAATCATGTAAGAATTTTAGTGGTTATACAATTATTGAAATGATTTCTAACACTTCTAATCTTAATACTTTTTTTGTTTGTTCATGGAAATTGTTAATTTATATATAGCTGGGAGATGGCGATTTTAAATGGGCAACTAAATATAGTTAGTTTTTAGTCCCTAGCTGTCAGCCGACGGTCAGGGCAGTGAGTCCCTTATGACCAGCTGAAGTTCTTTTAAATTGTGCTTGGTTCTGTTACAGCAACTGAAGGAGTCAGGTTAAAGCTTAAACAGTTACTATTTTATTGTTACAGGGTAAACTTAGTTGTTAAATGCTACTACTGTGTTACAGATAACACAGACACTACAAAGGACAGAACAGAAATTACACTAAGAAGTCACTTACAGGTACCATGAAACCCTTTGGTTCTCTGAGCTCTTATTAAATGCATGCAAAATAGACACATAGCAGGTATATTCTCACCCCTGCGTTCCAGACTTGGCGTGGCCAGCGTCTTTCTCTCAATCCCTCGGGAAGAAGTAGGGCGAGGTTGGGCGTCCCACAGACCTCGGGAGACAATCAATACCTGCAGGTGTAGGTGTTTGGAGCTCAAAGGGGGTGGGCTACTAAACCCCTCTTTATACCCCTGGGTCACGTAGGCTTCTTCCTGGTCTCAGGTGGCCAATAAGGAAAAATGGCTTTGAATGCCAAGTTTCCCACGAAGGGTGCAAAGCATAATTTACACCTGGGAAAATGCAGACAATGGGCACCTCTGGTATGTGATGGGCGAAGATTCCTCTCCTGGGACAGTGCAGGCGTGTCAATTACTGGTACTAGCCATCAGGGCGACGGGAGGCCCCGGGTCGTCAGCTAGCCCATTTACTGACTGTTTTCTGTTTATGGTAGAGTCAGGGACAGGCAGCAAACCTGTGTTCCCAGGGCATCAAAGGCTGACTGCCTTTCTCTTGCTCTCTGGCGGGGGGCGGAGGGGGGAACAAGATGGGATTCATGTCTGGCTACAAGCCTACACATCCTCTCTCAACCCAGTGCGGGTAAGGCTAGACTGCAAGAGTTCTTCAGGATTCCAGAGATACCCCAGAAAAACTCTTCTGCATCCAGGGATACGTTTGTTCTTCCACTTCTTTTAGTGGAAGAGCAAACGTGATCTTTTGGTCACCCCTATATTCCTCTTTCCACAAGGAATGAGGGGGCTTCCAAAAGAAGGGTTTTTTCTGACATTTGGTCAAATCTAGACAGGCCAAATGTTGGAAAAACTTCTTCCTACAGAAGAATTGGGGGGGCGGAAGCAGAGTGTAAGGGTTGGGGATAGCAAGCGATGGAGAGGAGGAGAATAGAGAGGGCAGAGCTTCAAGGAAGGGGTGGGGCTTCAAGAAAAGGGTGGAGCGGTAGATCTTGGCTTGTTCTGTCATTTAAAAAGTGATCTTAGGTGTAAAAAGGTTGGAGACCACTGGGCTAAGGGATATGCTTTCTTAAAGTCATTATTATTAGTAGGGATCTTAAAATGGTTAATAGGGTTAAACGCTAATATTTAACTGGTTAACCATTTTAACTTTGGGTCTGCTGGTCCCACTGTGGCCAACTACCACCAGAGGTCACTGGCAAGGGCTTGTTAATTAGTAAGCATACCGGTAAGCATCATATTTAGCAGTTTGCTTTCTAGTTAACATCCCTACCTATTAGCAATTGATTAATCAAATACCCCCAGCATTTACTTTTTGGAATTATACCCCTTGGGTCATGTAGGCTTCTTCCTGGTCTCAAGTGGCCAATTAGGAAAAATGGCTTTGAACACCAAGTTTCCCACGAAGGGTGCAAAGCATAATTTACACCTGGGAAAAATGCAGACAATGGGCACCTCTGGTATGTGATGGGCGAAGATTCCTCTCCTGGGACAGTGCAGGCCTGTCAATTACTGGTACTAGCCATCAGGGCGACGGGAGGCCCCGGGTCGTCAGCTAGCCCATTTACTGTCTGGTTTCTGTTTATGGTTGTGTCAGGGACAGGCAGCACACCTGCGTTCCCAGGGCATCAAAGGCTGACTGCCTTTCTCTTGCTCTCTGGGGGCGGGGGGACAAGATGGGGTTCGTGGAAAACCAAGATGGGGTTTGTGTCTGGCTACACTAGCATATTGTTATTTTTTAAAATAGTTTATGAAATGAACATTATAAAGCAAATAAATCTGGCAGGCCCAGATTTTCAGGGTATACAGACATTCATTTTATCTGCATAAATTTGGACTACCCTATCCTGGTTACTGAAAATCCCATAGAATATCTGTACATAATATTGGGAGAGTCATAGGGATGAATAGAGAAGAGCAAAAATTTACCCTTCCATGGACATGCACAATCCTCAGTAGGAATTGTGGACGCATCTAAAGGCAAAACTTGAATTGGCACATTAAATTGGCAACTTTAATAATTTAGAGAAGAAATCAAAACAAGATAACCTTTTGCTGCAAATAACATATGTTTTTAATCCTGCAAAGGAGCTAATCTGCCAGGAATTAGTAACTTACTTTCAATGGCACATCCTCTATCAAATGGATAACACCACATTCCCAGGGGTGACTTTTTTTCCTACAATGTCAGTTATCAGTTGCCAGCAAGAGCTTCTTATTTGCTTGTGTAAGTAACTTGGTTTAATTGATAGGGTGGAAACGTATAAAAGTAGGGTGCGGTAGTGCTATGCTAACAGCCCAAACTCCATCATACTGGAGAATAGCTTTTTCCTGTACAGTTACTTTCCATGGATTGTTTAGTGGATGTCGTTAACACTCTCTAGCCTTTGAATGTATTTCCATGTTTTTTTAGATGCAGAATCCTGAAGCGGGGTCTGGCATATTTAGCAAACACCTACTAGCCAGAGGCCAGTATAAAGGTGAATGTGGGTGGCAGTCCCCAGCAAGATATTGGGGCAACTTAATAGAAAACCTAGTCATCAGTTGCTGGGAAAGGTAAGAGTACAGGGATTCCTACCAGGTCCTGGCTCTGGACTCTTGTTAGATATTTGTCCTTTATATCAGCCTCTGGTTGGTAGGTGTCGGATATGTTTGAAGCCCTAGATTGCTGAGAATTAGTAAATGTATACAGCAGAACCCAGTTTGCCAGATCAGATCATCAAAAACCTGGGAAAACCAGAGAGTGGGAAAGTGCAGTGCTGCAACACCATCTAACAACCTCTGGAAAGATCACAGTAGGAATTGTGATGCATCTAAAGGCAAAATGTGAATTGGCACATTAAATTGGCAACTTTAATAATTTAGAGAAGAAATCAAAGCAAGATAGCTTTTTGTGGCAAATAACACGTTTTTAATCCTGAAAAGGAGCTAATCTGCCAGGAATTAGTAATTTATTTTCAATGGCACATCCTCTACCACATGGATAACACCACATTCCCAGGAATGACTTTTTTTTCTTGTACAATGTCAGTTATCAGATACCAGCAATCAAATTCTTATTTGCTTGTGTAAGTAACCTGGTTTAATTGATAGGGCGGAAACGTATAAAAGTAGAGTGCGGTAGTGCCATGCTAACAGCCCAAACTCCATCATACTGGAGAATAGTTGCTGGATCTGGTTAGCTGGTTGTCCCACGAACATGAAAAGCTGGGCAATGGATGAATGGGGTTCTATTGTAGATTGCTCAACCCCAGGAATGCTGCTTCAGGAGAACAGCCAAAATGTATATAGCCCTTTGCTAAGCAGACTCCTGATGACAGTGAGCTGGTTCTCCCCACTTGTGACAATTCTTAGGAATAAGTAGCTATAAAAGAAGATCCTAATAACATAGGCACTCCCAGAATACGTTTGTTTGTTCTTGTATGTGGTTATTTGAGGTGTTGATTTTTAAATTACTGTACCATTTTTCTCTGACAAATCTTCATTTAACTTCCTAGATCTCAGTAGCTGATCTCCCAGGTTTGATTGAAGGTGCACATGCAAACAGAGGAATGGGGCACAAATTCCTTAAGCACATCGAAAGAACCAAACAGCTTCTCTTTGTTGTAAGTAAATACTGTAATTTAAATAACCTGTTAATTTTAGTTTTTTATTCTATTTAGCTTTACATTTACTATCCTGTAAACATAAATTCCTAAGGTTTTATTGCAGCTGGCTTTCAGAGAGAATACTGTTCATAATTGTCATGTATTATTTTACTCTAGATTCTATTGTAAGCAGAATGTAAATATACCACTGATGGATGTTATGTTGATGAAGGCCATAGAGATACCTAAATAAATCAGCGGTTTTTATAAAGATTGCCTCTGACTCAATAGCAAGCAATGATTCCTAGCACAGCTCAGATGTTAGGTAGCCGTTGTGCAACAAGATCCCCTTAAAAGAGACCAAAAAGCCATTCTTAGACTTGAGATATTCTGAAAAATGGTAGTGTTTGAGTGGTGGGGTGTGGGTTTTTAAAATCATGCATTTTCTATAACACTAATTCATTTTAGGTTGATGTCTCTGGATTTCGGCTATCTTCAAAAACTCGATTCAGAACAGCTTTTGAAACTATATTGCTTCTAACACAGGTAACTTCCCTTTAAAAGTTGTCTCTAATACTGTGTAGATGTGAAGAAAGAAAAGTTAACATGTTTAAGATGACTTTAGTAGATTACAGGCAGTCCCCGGGTTACGTACAAGATAGGGACTGTAGGTCTGTTCTTAAGTTGAATTTGTATGTAAGTCGGAACTGGTACATATTGTAGGGGAAACTCTAGCCAAACATTTCTCCAGAGCTCAGTTTTATTCTCCCACACCTCACTTCCCTCAGTCCTTGCTTCTGGGGCCCAGCATGGTCTGTGGTGCCAGGAGAGGCAGGAAGCTGCCTTAGCACTACTGCTGACCAGGAGCCGCTCAAGGTAAGTACCTCCTTCACCAGCCTTGACCCCTCCTCCAAAGCCGAGCCCCCTCCCACGCACCAAAGCTCTCATCCTCAGCCCCACCCTGGAGCCCACACTCCAGTCAAATATGTTGGGTCACGGACATCACCAAATTTCTTCAACTGGGTCATGAGAAAAGTGTGAAAACCACTGCCTTAAACAGCTCCCTCAGGCCTTAAACATCTAAGAATATATTTTGAGCAGTGAATAAAGTACAGGCAGTCCCCGGGTTACATGGATCCGACTTACATCGGATCCCTACTTACAAATGGGGTGAGGCAACCCCGCACTAGCTGCGCTCCCCTCTCCAGCAGACCGCCGAGACGCGCCGCGGTCCCGCCACCCGCATCCTCCGCGGCTTTGCTCCGTGTCTCCCTGGTCTGCTGGGGAGGGGAGCTGGGGGAGGGAGACATGGAGCAAAGCCGCGGAGGACCCAGGCAGCGGGACCGCGGCGCATCTGGGCGGTCCCGCCGCCCGCATCCTCCGCGGCTTTGCTCTGCGTCTCCCTGGTCTGTTGGGGGGCAGCTGGGCCCCTCCTCCCCCCCAGAAGACGAGGGAGACGCGGAGCAGCTTTTCTCGCCCTGGAGGACGCGAGAAAAGCTTCATTCGTAAGTATGGATCCGATATAAGTCGGATCCGCGTAACCTGGGGACTGCCTGTAAATTATAGATAGAGGATCCAGTGTGGTTGATTGCTAGTAAAAAGAATTAATCTTAAAAGGCTTGGAACTTTCTAGATTTATTTAAGGCAGATGACAAAATTTTAGACAGTTGTTTCCTCATTAATTTTTGCTGCATTGGTAAGGAGATGCTCCTGAAGATCAAGCTATCTGCTAAATCCCTGGCTTGAGCTCTATCCAAACCATGAAGTAACTGAAGTAAATGTATGTGACCAATATAGTGCCATAGTGCAGATTCTTCCTACATCAACAGGAAGGAGGCTTTCCATTGACATAGTTAGTCCACCTTTCTAAGAGGTGGCATCTAGGTCAACAAAATAATTCTTTTGTTGACCAAGCTGCACCTACGCCATGGACTAGGTCAGCCTAACTATGATGCACTGGATGTGAAACCTTTTTTCACAGCCCTGAATGATGTAACTAGGTCGATCTCTAATTTTTAAGAGTAGACACAGCCTGAGACTCAGGAGTTTAATGAGATACCAGTCTTCAACTTTGCAAAATCCCATTGCCTTCTGGGAGCCATATGCAGAGTCTTAAGGCCTATCCTGCATTCTTCAATTATCCCCACTTTATTAAAATAGCCAGCAGCGGCTATATATATATTTTTTTAGATGGAGTTGAGTTTTCAATCACTTTCACTAACCCCTGTTTTCTGTGTCTTCTAATATTTTTTTTCTGTTTCATCTTATTCTAGTGTCCAATGATTCACTGTTGGGGATGATAGTTTGATATAAGAACTCCTGTGATTATATGTCATGACACTTAAGAGTCATAATCTGTCCAATTTCATATCCTAAAAATGTTGTTGCTTAAAGCTTTGTCTCAGAAGAGGTTGAGTCTTCATAGCACAATTGGCTTGTTATAACTAGAATGTTACCCCCTAACTCCACTCCTTTACTCACATACATCTAGCTCAAATTAAGTGGTGCTTAAGCTCAAAATAACTACTTTATCAGGGGGGTAGGTTGAAGCTCTACTGATGTTGGGAAAAGACTTAATTGGGCCTAAGCACCAGGATCAAAAGGGCCCTAAGCTCAGGATCTCCACCTATACCATGTCTTTATCACCAGCTATAAGTCAAATATGAAGGACACTACAGGGTACCTGGTCTAACAAATACCAGCTTTAGTCAATACTCTGCCAAAACTAATAGAACTGGCAAACAAAATAGAAAATCCAGTTGTCAAAAACAAAGCAGTGGCATGAAGCCAGAACCCAAAATACAGGTAACAAAACTGGGCCAGTACAATGAGGAAGGGATCATCCCACCATGCTCTTGATGGTCAGAGACAAGGTAGAAAGATGCCACAAGAACAGGAGGCATATTAAGAGGGAACTCAGGATAGCAGGTCACTCGTAGCTCTCAGACAGGCAGTGGAGGGGGCAGTTGATTGTCTTCTCTTTTTGACTTGTCATGTGTAGAATGTGAACAAGGAAGGCAAATGACAAGCTTGTGAGTATGCCTCAAGAATCTGACTTCCTTAGCCCTAGACCTAGATAAAAATATACTCTGTGCCTGTTACCATTACTGGGTGTGGGAAACTGGGTAACTCCACCACTTGAGAGTCAGTCATTCAGTGTCTGTGTCTCTCTCTTGCTTTCTCTCTCTAATCCCTCCATAATAGGCAAGCAACCAGGCCCCTGCCTCTGGTGTCCTATTGAGCCGACAGCATTTCTTAACTGCCTGAAGGGGTCACAGTCAAGCTGCTGCTCCAGCCCTGCAGAATTGCAGAGAGCCCTTGCCCCTTATGCCCAGCGACAAGAGGGCTTATATTAGGCTCAGGAGATCCCACTTTTCTTGCCCTTTCTTTTCCCACCTTTCCTGAGTATAATGACAGAGGGGCTGACAACAGCCTCAGAGGAAAAATCAAAATGGTGGGCGCAAAAACTCTGATGCCCCTTCTCCAATAGTGATGCTTGAGCTAATAATGCAGGAGGGGATACAACCCATCAATTACAACAATTCACCCAATTACTCTAACTCCAATGGGCTGTGTCTACATGGTGCAGCAGCAGCATACACTGTTGGATGTGCATTCTAATGTACACTCATGTGTTTCACACTTTCTGGCCTGTGTAGACCATGCTGGGCCAAAAAGCATGCAACATATTGGTGTGCATTAGAATTCATGCCTGAACAGTGTATACCACTATACCGCAAGGACAAGCCCAGTTTAGAAGGTAAGTAGGCTAGCTTGAGTGCAATAATTTAAGTATACCAAGTCAAGCTGTGAAGATAAGTCTTGAGAGGTTTCTGACCAGTAACTTCAGGAAATAAGTAGATGTGTCTATGTGATAATATAGATGTGACTAAAAAGAACAAATCTGTCATTCCCCCTTGCAAAAGAAAGAATTGCAGTTGTACAGGCTGCATATGTACAGTAAATGCATTTAAATGACATTCTCAATGATAAATACTACTTCTGTTAAGCAGAGTGAATTCATCAGCCTTGAGCACATTGGTAGATTTCAGTGCTGTAATAAATACTAATTCTTCAGACAGTTACACAAATGAAAGAGGAAAACATAAAACCAGAAAAAATGTTTTGAAGTTCAAACAAAAGCAAACTCACTTTGTTTTAAGGAGCTGGAGTTATATAAAGAAGAGCTTCGGACAAAGCCTGCACTTCTTGCTGTTAATAAAATGGATTTGCCTAATGCACAAAATAGCTTGAATGAACTTATGAAACAACTACAGAATCCTCAAGGTAAACTCATCTAATGCATAGTAGCCTCTTATTTATAATAAATAGATTATATTTTGTAAATATTTATAGACGTATATATTACTTGATGATATGCTGAACTACAGGCAGTCCCTGGGTTATATACAAGATAGGGACTGTAGGTTTGTTCTTAAGTTGAATTTTTATGCAAGTCGGAACTGGTGTCCAGATTCAGCCACTGTTGAAACTGACCAGCGGCTGACTACAGGAAGCCCGAGCAGAGCTGCTCTGCCCCGGGCTTCCTGGAATCAG